TCTCTCTCTCTCTCTCTCTCTCTCTCTCTCTCTCTCTCTCTCTCTCTCTCTCTCTCTCTCTCTCTCTCTCTCTCTCTCTGTGTGTGAGATACTCCATACGAACTCGTCTAGCGGATCCTTTCAGCCGCTTACCGCTAAGTCGGCTATGGCCATTACCCCTACATTCTGCTCCCTTCTTCTTCTCATCCTCCCACACTTCGTCGTCTTCGTCGTCGATTCCATAGTCCCTCGTCTCGCACTCGATGCTCCGCCCGACATCAAGACCAGATTCATGCCTATTGATTCTATCTCCAATCCTCTACCGTCCTTCCCCCCCCTCCCCCTCCCCCTCCCCCTTCGTCTTCCTGCAGCCAGAACTCCGTGACGTGTCGTCCTGCGATCGGAAGCGCTCAATCCCCTGTCAATCCCCTGCGAAAAGACGACACCTTAGGTGTTCAACACTGAATCGACAGTTCATCACATCAAGTCAAGCGTGTAATCCTTAACCTTTTCCCTCCCGACCGGTCCCTTCCGTCGTCGCCGACCCCGGTGTGCGACAGCAGAAGACAACAATCGTTGCCACAAACACTTAACTACCAGCCTGAGAGTATACTCACAGTAGCACTTTTTTACCTTACTTATTTCTGGACGGAATTGCGGCCATATGCATACACGTCTGGCCGTAAATGCGGTGAGATACGTACGTTTAAGAAAGTGCTATGTAGCGTGAGGCGTGTGCAGACCCTGAGCGATGCCAGGCTTGCAATTGCGGTAATTGTAGTATCGAATCGATGGGATTTGTCTTGTCGCCTCCTGCCTGCTGCTGCATGGCTTGTTCTTAGGCGAAAGTCGCAGGCCTTCGCTGGACGAATCTGGGCGCAATTCGCTTCCAGATTCCTTTCAATGTCAAGGAGTTGCAGTGCGAATAAATATGCCCCCCTGGCGCTCGCTTGCACAATCATCAACCTCGCCCCACTACTACCGGTAGTGCAAACGACAAAAATGTGGCGACAGCCGGGCATGGCTGCACTACTCGCCATCCGCCAACATTTTGAATGCGTCTGGACTCAGATGCTCTCCGATGCATTCAAAATGGCACTACGGGTAGGTGTCGCACACGCGTAGCAAATCAGCCAAAAAGAAAAAAAACACCCGGAAAAAACAAATTGCCAGGATTTTTCTTTCTTTCTTTTTTTTGTGCCAGGAGTGCTACTCCTGCTGTCTATATTATAGCATTCAGGGGCCGGCGGAACGCTGCGGTCGGCGCAAATGCGCTCTGCCCAGCGGTACGCCGCGAATTTCGACCACGGTCAACCGACGCACTACCGCCGAGATAGTGCCTCGGGGGTACCGACTCTTTCCCTGGTAAGGGTAAAGCGGCTATGGTGGGAGGAATCCTGCAGCCGAGTTCGGATGACCGCTGACCGGCGCGGCCAAGTTAGAGATAAAGGACGGAGTGAGAAGACGAAGAAGAGGAACGAGTGAAGAATAGCAAGGTCGTGATAGACTGTCTCAAGAAATATTAGGACTACGATAGAGGGAAGGGCAAGGACGAGGAATTGGAAGGACAGAGAATGAGTGCGAGGTCACCTCCACCAGGACCATCAGAGCCAATGAACTATTGGGAGGAAGAGGAACGAATCAGATCACTCTTAACCCTCTGCTTTGACGATGGGGTTTACCCCACGGAGCTGGATCCAGGCGAAATGGAGGTCCATGGAAGAGAGGCGAAATTTACCTTGAACTCGTCGCTGGACGAGATCAAGGTAAAATGGCTGAAAGAGCGGACCATCTCAGTGATCTTCAAAGAAAACGCAAGATTCCTTTCGAAGAAGATCAAGGACGACATCATAAGAGCGTTTGAAGATGGTTGGATTTTGGGCAGTGAACGGTTCCCCAGTGGAACAAGGAGGGGACGAGTGAAGATAGAAGGTCCGAATGCGCTTTCATATGTAGGGAAGTCTAGGGAGGTGACGAACTTCATGATAAGTGAGGGAGGGGTGGAGATTCCCACGAGACAAGCTAACGTCAGCTATAAAGTGGAATTCAAACCATGGATGACAAAGGCAGAATTCAGGGACTTACGAAGACAGGAGGACGACAGAATCTTCTGGGTGATTGCGGTGCAAGTCCCCTTGGACGATATGCCGTTTACTTATGCACAAATCGAGCGGGCAATCGGCAAGATTGAGCAGGCACACCCACCAGATGCAGACCCGGATAGACCAGCATTAGTTAATGCGAGATTTGACTTGGCTTCAGATGCAGGAGAGAACATGAAAGACAAGATGAGAATCATCACCTCCAAGGGTGACGATCTGGAAGTACGGTTGGCTTGCTCCACTACGCCGAAATGCCGGACATGCCGACAGTTCTTCCACACGGAGGAGGAACGCCGGAGGCGAGGAGGGCAAAACAGGGAAGTACCAGGTGGGATAAATATTCCCACCCAACAACCTTCACAAGCACAATCGAGTACGGGGCAGGGCACGAGAAGAAGACCCCGATACCATGGCCCACTGGGTCCCCAGCCCTAGGCGGAAGCAGCCGCGCCCGCAGGCTTTGCGTACGCAGCCGATAATCCGATGTTCTCGCCGGGAGGGAACCTTCAAGCAAGCCCCTCCATGCAGAGCCTCTATCAGGTGATGATGGCACTACAAGGCGCAGCCTCGCAAGGAGGGATAGTTGTCAATGGAGGAAGCTAGAGAAATCTTGGACAACAACTAAACCAATTCCACGTAGGGATGCCCCCCCAATATGGGGGAGGCTACCTTCAGGGGTTTGGAGGACAAGGGATACCATCGGCTTTTCATAACTTCCAGCCTAATTTCATTCCTCAGGATCAGGGCCCCAGTTTCCACGGATTGGAGGGTGGAGTAGGAGTGAACCTTAGAGGGGCAGGAACAAGTAGGCATCAGGAAAGGTCTGCGCAGCCTTCAGAAGCTTCGCTACAACCTGGGAGAGAGAGTCAACCAGGAGGGAGGGAATTGGGATCACGAAGGACGGTAGCGGACCCTCATTAGTGATCACGACCAGCAGGCAAGCAGCGAACGCTCAGCATGTCGCCAGTGAAGGAGCTCCACAGAGAAGCTTCAGTGGAGTCATCCGCGCACTCCACCGGCCAGCAAGCAACCTCGGCAGCACCGGGGCAAAAGACAACGAGAGACAGGTGTCTTGCAACAATGGCCAGAGGACAGGGTGCAAGATTAGAACAGTTGCTCATCCCACTAGCATGCACTGCAGTTAGGAACGATTTTTGGATTATCACCTGGCACACAGCACTGTGTCCGTACACACTGCCTTCACAACAGGTAGAAGATGCACCCACACCACGAACTATATTGCAGGCGGTAGAAACCCTGTTCATGAGGTACTTCTCTGCATGATTGATTAGGGATTGCTTGATGGCAAGGATCATTACAGAAATCGAAGGAAAGAGGATCAAACTCTTTGTTCCGCTGGTTGATGAGAGACTGACGACAGAGGACGCAGGAAAACTGAAGAGCTTGGGGATGAAACTCGTACCGTTTACTTGGTTCACAGACGGAAGGAAACCGGAGCTTGGTCGAATCGCTATCACACCGAAATTATTTGCACAATGCCCGACAGAACTGAAAATCCACCTCCAGAAGGATAAGAGGCTGGACTCGCAGTTCGTCAAAGATGCCCTTACGCAGCCATGGGGATTAAGCACGCAGGTCAGAAGAATGAAATAAGACAATCGAAACACATCCCGCATCCAACAGTCGGGAGAAGGGTAGAGGGATGGTTAAATTTACTTTAGCCTCTCGTAACATTTGCGGATTGGGGGATACAGGGGGAAGATGTAAGAAGGTCAGATTGAAGAAGTGGATCCACGAGAATCATGTAGAGGTTATGTGTCTACAAGAGACAAAACTCTGTGAGGATAAGATTCAGAAACTGGAAGGATGGTGGGACGGACCTCAGATCTGGTCCCCGACCAAAGGTTCGTCGGGAGGAGTAGCAATACTCCTCTACAGGGACCTGGAAGCAGAAATCATAGACCATTATAAAAACCTATGGGGGAGGTGGGCTTGGGTGAAACTGGGGATTGGACAGGAAGAGTGGGTTATTGTCACGGTATATGCACCAGTCCGAAAGAGGGATCGCAAGACCTTCCTGAAAGATCTGCCGTATAACCTACCGGATGTGGATAATATGATTATTGCAGGGGACTAGAATCACACGTTGGATGAAGACAGACAAGCAGGGATGAGAGGTTCAGCAACAGGGGTACTGGCAATGACAGATTTTATGACAGATCTAAATATCCACGATCCATTTAGATTATTACATTCGTTAGACCCTGGGTTTTCATGGTTTACACACCAGGGAAGAAGCAGAAGATTAAATTACTTGTTAACGAACAAAAAAGGGTTGGACGCAATACTACGGATCGAATACCCCAGCGCGCCGTTGTCATACCATAACCCATTGGTAGCAGACTTTCGTATAGGGGAAGAGTCCTGCAGAGGGAAGGGATACTTTCGTTTGAACACAGACAATGGAAAAAATTTCCAAAATTAAATAATCATTCTATAATAAAATTATAATCTAAATTTCAAATTTTCATTCCATCTTTAAAAATGTCATTCCAATTTTAAAAATTTTCATCTTACTTGCAAAGTTTCATTCCGAGAATAGGGTATCCCTTCTTATTTGGATTGCATGCTAGAGATGGAATGAAAGTCTGGATGAGTTTATTAAATATTTTAATTGGACTGTTATTCTAAGTAAGGATTTTCAATCATAAATAGGTTAAATGAAAAATTAATTATAACATTTCATAAACTCGTCCAGACTTTCATTCCATCTTGAAAAAATAGATGTAGTTGGAAGGGAAAGTTCATGTTTAGACAAGAACTTATCAAATAAAACTGAAAATTTTAGAATTGGACGAACATTGGAATGATAATTTATAAATATGAAGGATTTTTTTTTTTTTATGGAATGTTTTTTCAACTTTCATTTCTCATGGGAATTTTTCTGTTGAATTTGTCAGACCCGAACCTTCGCCAATGGGTTACGGAATTCTGGGGAAGGTGGTCGGGTAGGAAAGATCAATTTGATTCGCTCTCAGACTGGTGGAAAATAGGCACAAAAGTTCTCTCCAATTTGCTTAATGTTCACTCGAGGATCGTAGCATTGGAACGAAATAAGGAAGAAAAGCTTTGCATGAGGAGGGTGGAGTATGCAGAAAGGAGAATGAAGGAGCATCCTATCTCAGAGTTTGTTTGGGGAAAAAAAAAAGTGAAGAGGCTGGAACAGTGGTCAGGGATAGACTGCAACAAGAGAAAGCTGAAATTTGGACGGAAAGATTGAAGGTCAAGAACATCACGGTGTACGACCGGATGTCAAAAGAAAAGAATCCTTCCAAAGATTGCTCCCAAGAAGAGTGGCCCAACTTATGAGAGAGTTGTCTCACCCATTTTGTGACTCGGAACCAAGAGCGTCCAGACCCACAGACATGTGCAGCTACGCAGCCTGCTACTTCCAAGACATTCTAACCTCACGGAGACTAGGAGAGGGGGCGGACCGTAACCTATCAAGTGACAGTGAACACTGGCAGCACCTAAAGGTAAGATGTTCCTCACAGGAAATATTGGACTTGGACAGACCAATCACGGTGGAAGAAGCGATTGCAATGATAGCTCAGATGGCGAAGGGGACGGTCCCGGGGGACGCTGGCTTACCAGTAGAATTCTATTCGACTTGCTGGCCTATAATGAGAGAAGATCTAGTGCCGATATTTAACGGAATGTTAGATGGAGGTACCTCCCAAAGAACGCATGTAACGGGATCATCTCGGTATTATTTAAGAAGGAGGACAAGAGTGAGATTCGGAATTGAAGACCGATCTCACTCTTGAACATGGCACATAAGATACTGGCAAAGATCTTGGCTAGACGATTAGGTAGATACCTGCCGGACCTAGTGTTGGAAAATCGGGCGGCGTTTGTCAAGGGCATGTCGATATTTGTAAACATCGTAACAACAATCGAGACAATGGAAACAGTACAAGAGGAGAACCTGGACTTCGTTGTACTCCTGCTTGATATGGAGAAAGCGTATGACAGGGTTAACTGGTCATACGTGATGACCACTCTAAGAGTTATGGGGTTTGGATATTGCTTCTGCAAATGGGTGATTGGAATGTATTCGCACTCCACGACCTCAGTCATGATCAATGGATTCCTGTCAAAGAACTTCAAGCTTTCAAGATCTCTCAGACAGGGATGTTCGCTGACACCACTATTGTTCGTACTCCAATTGGAGACAATGCTTTGCAATATCCGCTCAGATAAGAGGATTCAAGGGCTCCCAACAGGGGGAAGAGACTGTCGGGTAAAGGCACTGGCGGACGACCTGTTCACCGTGGTGGCAAACACGGAACAGTCGCTGACAGCATTGAGGGAATGTTTAAAGGAATACGAGGATCTGTCAAAGGCAGCGATAAATTGGACAAAATCAGTGTTCCTTCTTTCAAGCTCCTTTTCGCTGAAGGTCCAATGGGGAATGAAAAGAGTGGAAACAGACAAGTCAGAGCGCTTTCTAGGAGTTCAAGTAGCCCTCCTCTCATGCGCTGCAGACCAGGACGAACTGCTGCAACACAGAGTGATGAACCGACTATCCATATGGGGCATAGCTCCTCACCTGTCCCTGATGGGAAGGGCGTTGGTAGTGAACGTGGCACTGTTTTCACTGCTGTGGTACGTAAGGAAGGTACGACCACTGAGGGGTAAGGCGAAAACAGTAGTAAGAAGGAGGGCGGCGAAGTTTATATGGAAGCCGCGTGGACAAGAATCGGAGGGGCTCATGTCGAAGGTCGCATGGGACACCATCCGCCACAGCAGACAAGAAGGGGGATTGGGCCTGAAAGATCCGGGGAAACAAAACAACGTCATGCTGGCCTTATGGATCCCAAAGACCCTTGCAACGGAGAAGGAAGAGCACTTGATCCTACTGACAGAAACAATGCTCATGAAAAGCTGATATCTGTCCAGGAGGGAGGATGTATGGGCCTGCATCTAGATTGACTCCTACTTACGGAAGCCAACCTACTCCGAGCTGTGGACAGGAATCTTAAGAGCTTGGAAGGAGGTCAAGCCGGACAAATGGACAGAACCGGTTACAAAACAAGAGGTACTATTGCAAGTGATCTTTGAGAATCCAATGACAAGGAACGTAGAACGAAAGGTGATAACTGCAGATAGGAAACCAGGGAGTTTCGACAGAGCCTGGATTGAACAGGGCATAGTTAGGATTAGGGACATACGGAATGAGTTCAGGGAGGACCGTGACTGGAGCATTGCCATAGAGCTGAAACAAAGCCGAGGTTGCCTTAGGATGGTGGAAGACAGGCTGCCAGAAGTGATATTAGCGATACTAGACCAGTGAAAGCGAGTCTTGGACCTAGGCAACCTAGACCCACCAGGCACCTGGTACACAAACAAGCAGTCTCAAGAGAGGAAAACTAAATGACTAGGCCACCACCGGTGTTGACTCAAATCAAGGTCAAGGAATCCTACAATGAGGCAAGCGAATGGACAGTTGCATTAAGAGGCAACGAAGTCCTGCTCATTGAGAGTAGAGCAGACCCGACACAATAGGCATGGAGAGGAAGGGGTGTAGAAGACTCGGATGAGGATGTCCTGAACTACTCAATTGATTTAGGATATAAGTTGCAGAACATAGCAAGAACCCCTCAGACGGTGGCAGCAGATAGATGGGTTAAGGTTCTACAGATGAAACCAAAGCACATCATAGAAGCTATCCGGCGCTGCTGGCAGCAACTCAGATTATTGTCATCCCAGAGACTGGCGGTAACCCTTTGGCTGTTATCCCTGTTAGCCACCCCGTCAGCAGTCTGGCTTAATGAACGAGGCATGAAAGTAGACACAACGTGCAAGAGATGTCGTTGGGCATTCAAGTCCACAACCCACCTGTGGTGGGATTGCCCAGTCTCAGTCAGGTTCTGGAAATGGTGGGCCAGGATCTGGGAAAGGGTATCTGACAAGGCCTTCCTATGGGATAAGGAATGGGTGTTGTTAGGGGGATGCCCACCAACACCGCAGTTAGAGGAAGGTTGGGGATACGTGGCACAAGCGGTAAGGGCAATTGGTTTGACAGTCATTTTGTCCGACCGAAATAAGATGGTATTCAATGAAGAAGACGTCACAGATAAGAAGCAAACAGGCTTGTTCAGACTTCACATCAGGAATGCGATCGCTGCGGATTGGAGGAGGAAAGTGCAAAAATCAATAGACAAAGACCAGGGCAGGGGATGGTTGATAGAACTTGGGCAATCAAGGACAGTTTGGTGATGGTAGTGGGAACCAAATTGGAATTGTCACAGTGGTTGCAAAATTGAACAGTAGCTAGACGAATAGACTAGTTCAGTAGGAATTGAAATCAGGAGGCCTAACCAAGCGCACTCGGTTAACTTCCGCAATAGGAAGGCAGAGGGACAGGGAGGGTACGAAAGTATCCAGAAGTAGGTAGACTAGGGTCCACCCTGCCGGGTAGGCAGGAAAACCACGGGGGGGTACCTTGTGAGAGGCAGTAGGGGTTCTACGGAGAATTGGGGTCGTAGTCTTATTTGGGCTTTTCATTTAGTTCGTTGGTCTGTATATTGCTTTTGTGTGTGTGTTTTTTTTGTCTGTTCGAGAGAATGGTGTCGTTGGCTTGGCCAAGTGTTGTTGGGGTAAAACCCATATACCAGATTGGGTAATGGTCCGAAACATTCAGTGGTTTCCTTCCGGGTTGTTTGTGAGGAATTCCCGGCCTCATGGTTCTTTCATGATAATGGATTCCTTGCTTTTCCCAAAAAAAAAAAAAAAAAAAATATAGCATTTAGGTCTCCAGATTTCAGACACGGAGGGGAGGCGCGCGACCTTGCTTCGGCCAGTGCTAATGCGCTCTGCCAAGCGTGAACCAGGTGTCAGCAGAACCCGAGTTACCGCCGAGGGTGCTACCATCGAGATAGTACCCTGGGACCCGTTCTCCATTGCGCCTCCGTTGAGAGGTCGGTATGGCGAGGCTAGCCATAGGCGAACGAGGTTGGTAGAGGAAGCACGACCTCCCACCACCAACAGTGAAGAAGAGTAGTAAGTTGAGCGAGGCAAGGGAACCTAGAGGAGGTAGAGAGAAGAGAAGAACAGTACAAGCAATGGAGGCAACGCCAGGGTAAGAAGGGACGGGGAGATCCCCCCCCACTGCCCTAATGGAGGAGAGAGGTTATGGGAAGGACGAAGATCGTTTGAGAGAGTTTTTTGTGGCATGCTTTGATGAGGGAATATTTCCTACAGAAATAGACCCTTGGGAAATGAGCATCGAAGGGAGGGAGGTGAGATACACAGTTTACTGGATGAAATCAAGGTTAGATGGCTCAAGGAGAGGACGGTTAGGGTAATTTTCAAGGACGAAGCAAGATACCTGCAGAGGAAGGTCAACGACGACTTGGTGCGAGCGTTCGAGGACGGGTGGGTGATAGGGAATCAAGGCCTTACGGAAAACACGAGGAGAGGAAGATTGAAGATCGAAGGACCCGGAGTCGCATCATACATTGCTAAAGCGCGAGAGGTAGCAAAATTCATGATCCAAGAGGGATAGGTGGAAATTCAACTTGGAGGTGTCCAGTACAAGATCCTCTTTAAACCTTGGATGACAAGGACCAAGTTCCGGAATCTTCGAAGGCAGGAAGACGAGTCTACCTTTTGGGTTATGGCTCTTCAGATTCCACTGGACAACATGCCTTTCATCTACGCTCAAATAGAAAAGGCAATCGGGAGGATAGTGCTTGCATCCGACAGATCCAGATCCAGCTAGATCAACGTTGGTCAACGTGCGTTTCGACTTGGACCCAGAGGCAAGGTTGAATATGAAGGATAAGATATGGGTGGAAATGGCTAAGGGCGATACGCTGGAAATTCGACTTGCTACAACAAGTACGATGAAGTGCAAAATATGTAGGCAGTTCTTCCACCTGGAACAAGACTGTCGAAGAACGGGAGGAAGGGGAGGTCAGGGAGGCGGGAGCGGATACCCCTCTGCTCAAGGACAATCGCAATACCAACGACAAGGAGGCTCGGTGGGGAACGAAAGCCAGCAAGGCAATTAAGGGTATCAAGGCCTTTTGGGCCCAAGACCAGCAACCCCAGCAGCGTCAGGGGCAGCGAGCAGAAGAGTGGAGATGAGAGTTAATCCAACGTTTCCCTGGTCAGTGGGCGTAGCGCTGCAGGCAGGCCTAAGGAATGAAGTCGCAGGCCAACAACTGGGAGTGGCCGGGCCAGGCAGAACCCAACCTTACTACGGCATCCCGTCTCAACAGGGAATCGACATCTTCAACAGAGCGTGGCCGGCAGGTACCAGTCTGATGGATGGTTCAATGTCTTTTACTCAGTGGCCAGGGATGACGGGCGGACAAGGGGTAGGGAACCCAATGGCCCAAGTGGGTATGTCCGGCTTACTGATGGCCCAAGGGATGGGTCTCACAGGGGCCAAGGAAGCCCCGAGACTGCAGATCCCGGCACGACAACAATCGGGAGTAGGAGGAACCTACACGTTGGTTCAACCAGGAAAGAGCGCGTTGGATGGAGGAGTGAGGCAAGAAGTGGGGCGTGGAAGACGGGAGGTGGAGGGGATCGCAGGACGATCGAGAGGGTTGTCGACAGGGAAACATAGAAGACTAAGCATGACAGATGTCACCCTAGAAATGTCTGGTGCATTGCGGGCGTCGAGAGAGGTGTTAGAGCAGTCAGTAGGTCAGGACATAGGGATCGGGACACCAGGCAGTAAAACGACTAAGGACAGAAGGCTTGCTTCAACAGCGAGAGGACAAGGATCGGAACTGTCGCAGTTCCTGGTCCCCCTCCTATATACAATGATCCGGAACGCATACTGGGTGGTGACGTTGTCGGAGCAAACACCCTTACAAGGGTATTTGCTCATGTTTTTGTAATCGACATAGTTTTGACGCCAGCTACCATGACGTAGCCGGTCTAAAAATAAAAAGTGGGATAAACTTCTCGACTGTTAAGGGCGAGATTCGTTGAGTGGCCGCACGCGCTAACACGGCGCGCGCAGAGACAGGTGAGATTTGTGGATTACAAATTCAAATAACCACGCGCACTATTGCGGCACGCGCGGAGACAGCAAAAAGGTTAGAAAATAAAACCTCCGACCAGAAATGGACGGAGGGTTAGTCGAAGAAAGAGAAGTCGCGCAAGGCGCGACGACTTTAATCCAAGTTAGCTGGGAACTGAAACGACATGATCAGTAGCGTTAATTAGTTTAAAGACCGCGGGTGTCCGAAACGTCGGTATAAAGGAACCGGCGGATCGCTCCACCATGAGCTCGAAAAAGAGACTTGAGAAATTAATATAGGCCCCGGCCATATGGCCAGGGCAGCCAAAAGGGTCGTGCTGCCTACCGTACTAGGCTGCGACGACCAGTACCAGCCTAAACTAACCTTAGGAAGCAGGTCGTAGGCCTGTTATACTTTACGAACCAAGCCTATACTCTACTTATGGCAGAATCGCTCCTATTCTAATTGAACTAGGAGCTAGCCCAATAGGTATAGGCATGGATTATCAAGGGACTGATCTAGGGAACGAAGCCCACCGGCCTTCGGGCTAGCTCCTTTTGACAAGGAGTTCTACTTCGGTTTCACCCCGCGTTCGGACGGTCGGAACTTGAACCCGTGACCTCCGTGTCGGGGTTAGTTAGAAGTTAGTTTGAAGCTAGGCCCCAGATCCGACAGTTGGCACCTCGGGATAGCCAGTAGGTAGATTCCTTTTCTTTATTTATTACTTTTTTATTTTCTTTTCCTTTTTCTTTTATTCTCGTTAGATTTTGTTTCATTTATTCTTATTTTTATCCTCTTATTTGATTTACCTCCAACCAAAAAAAAAAAGTTCCACTCCGTCGAATCGGCCGCGGATTTGACAATAGATTCATTTCAATACGGTTCATGATGAACTTGTTGGATGAGCTCTGACTGCGGCCTGCCCGACCCCGCCAAGAGAAGGGGAAGATGAACTCGGAGTCCGTCGAGCTCGGTGCAGTTAGAAGAAGGGCATAGCGCCGGGAGACGGAGACGCCAGCGTGGGAGGCACAACGCAGGGAAGAAAGAGAGGGGAGTATGGAGAAAGCAGAGAGAAAAGCGAGCGGGCGCGGGGGAAAATAACGCAAGCAAGCGAGAAGGGAGGTGGTTGCACGGGAAGAAAGGAGGCGTGCAAGAAGGAGAAGGAGAGGAAGGAGAAAGAAGAAGAAGAAGGAGAAGAGGAGGAGAAAGGGAGAAGAGGGAAGTAGCGAAGAAGATCGTGAGGGAAGTAGCGAAGAAGATCGCGAGGGAGAAGGGAGAAGTTCGCAAGGTGAAAGTAGCACGAACTGGCGAGAAGTGCGTGCGAGAAGAAAAGAGTGCGTAGGCAGACGGACAACGCAGCAAAGAAAAGAAGAAAAAGAAGAAGAAGAAGGACAAATGAGAAGAGGGAAAGGAAGAAGAAGCAGACAGCGAAAAGAGAAGGGGAGCTTAGGCAGGAGGTGTTGAGTGCGGTCAAGAAGAAGCCCGCGAATGCAAACGGGTGGAGAAGCGAGAAAGATACCGAGTAGAGTAAGGAGGGAAAGGAGAACCACGCAAAGATAGAGCGAATTGCCAGAACGTGCGCGCAGGAAGAAAAAGTGGGCGGGGACAAAAGTAGAACACGACAGAGAGAAAAAAGAAGAAGAAGAAGAAGAAGAAGAAGAAAAAGAAGAAGAAAAAAAAAAAAAAAAAAAAAAAAAAAAAAGAGGAAGGAGCAAATCACGCAGACGAAGAATCTGCCTGGGCCTCGCTCCACTACACGGATAATCTGAATGTATCTGGACTGGCTACTGGTCCTAATACATTCAAAATGTTGGATCAGCCGAAATGCATCTGGTCCAAGTGTCTGTCAAGACACATGTACGGTATTGTATAGTGAGTGAAGCGAGGCCCTTCATGGTGCGCAGAGCATGAATGGACAGACCTGCTACCGTCTTCCCCCGAATAGAACGCAAGGTCTTTATGCCTGTATTTGGGACACCTTTCAGTCTCCATACAGCGCTAATGACCGGAAAACGGTCGGATCTAATTACGCGGAGATTCAAATTCGACCGAGAACTTCGAAAATTAGAAGAAGAAAAAAAGAAAAAGAAAAAAAACTGCGCAGTCTAGTAATGGTACCCGTACACTGTTACACAGCATTAGTTAAGGCAATTGAGACAAAACGAAACAAGATCAAAAATTGGACCTCGCTTCACTACTGAACATAGGACAAGTATCTGAACCGGAGAGAAGACCAAATACATTACACTGATCCCATGTATCGGACCTCTATGAGGACCTCATACATTTCGCATCCTGTGTAGAGGAGCGAGGCTCATTGATAACAATCTAAACCAACCTCCATGCACCTTTGTTTCGTACTCAAAATGCTAAGCATTTTTTTTTTTTTCCTGTTTTTCTAATTTGTGCAACATTCGGAGTCCCAGACATCGAGGGCAAAAAAAAAAAAAANAAAAGGAAGGGGAAGAGGAGGAGAAAGAGAAAAGAGGAGGGGTCGACTTACCTATCGTCGGCCCGACTCGTTGGAATAAGCGCTTGTGTTAATGACATGCCTGCATGCTGGTGAGCTCAAACCCGGCATCCGCTGCTTACCTCATGCGAGGGCGGAGACTAGCGGGATGTGAGATACACCTCGCGGTGACATCGTGAAAGCGGGATCGTCATCCGCCGACTTCGTGGAGTGTGCCCTCATGCCTGACGTATCCCCGCGCTGTGACTGCGGTATGTGGCACCTCGTAAAGGATTGTGCAGCGTCGCGGAGCGAGAGAAAGAGGGAGCAGGTAAGTCTGCAAACTCGAAGGTACATTCATTAGTAGGATGAGCAAAATCGAGTGAATCTACCGCTGAACTAAAGAAAGGTGCGGCACTACACGTGTGTGTGGGTGTGTACTCGCTTGTGTGTATATATATCTATACCTATATGCCCTGCTCTATGCCGGATGGGGCGCAAGTAGTCTTTTGGGTGTGCACGTGGCATCTGTGTGGAGGATCGAGGTTGTGAGTGAGGCGAGAGACATACCTAGTGCTGGAAGCGTGCAACATTGGCCGATGTATGCTCGTACTTCGGGAAAGTTGTTGACGTCATCATTCAGCGTTGTAGTATAGGCTAGATAGGATCTGTGATTTGTAGTCTGGGCGTCGAGCGCCAGATAGGATATCAACATTGGTTCTTCATTGATGATGATGATGATGAGACTTTACCAGCATTGTCAATTTGAGCTCTTAGTGTCTTCTCATTTGGTGAAACTCGTGATGCAATTCTGTTGTTGGTTCCAGGTCACGACTATCCAGTCTTGTGTGTATGATGCTGCTTGGTTTCTAAAGTTCGCTATTGCTAATTTTCCTTACGTTTTCATTATTATTATTATTATTATTATACAATCAAACTCGCTTTCACTTCTTCGCTTCGCATATATGCAAACAGATGGTGATTCACACTGGCGCATAGCGCCCTACTCAAAGCTCGAAGATATGGAAACCAAGACACAGTTCATATTCAAGCTTGCTTCAACAGGCTATGGTGCATCAGCACCCACGCATCGCAACTCTTGTCACTGTGTCCAACACCTCTGTTCACTTCACACTTCAACTCCGGATCACCCTGGATACCCCACGCACACACGCACACGCAGAGGCAGAAGGAGAAATAGAGAGAAAGACATGACCGTGTTAAACAAGCAGGCAGGCATCGACACACAGACATACAGACATACATGACAAGACAGAGACAAATTGACAGATAGACAATGACAAAACAGAGATAAACAAACAGTCAGAGAAACAAAAAGACAACGACAGACAGACAACATACACCGACAGACAGACAGATACAGGCGCACAGGACAGACGAAAACAGGCAAACACAGACAGGCGGACACAATGACAGACAGACGGAACAGACACAGAGAAAGACAAACAGACAGTCAGAGAAACAGAAAGACAACGACTGACAGACAGAAACAAACACACAGGGTTGACAAAACAGACGCAGACAGTCAGACTAACACGGACAGTTGACCGGACGGACAGACACTGAAAGAGAGAGAGAGCAGGTGGGCTCATGAAGAAGGGCGCGCAGAGGTAGAGGAAGGAGAAGAAAAAGAACAAGAAGAAGTTGAAAGAAGGGAAAGTGGAGAGTTGCATACCTGGGCTGCACACGCGCTACGCTGATGAACCCAACGAGTTGACTGGCCGGGTTGAAACAGCTCGGGTAACGTTCTTAAAGGTTCGTCTTGATGAGAGTAGACTATTGAAATTACCGATCTTGAACGGGGAATGCCCAGTAAATGCGAGTCATCAGATCGCACTGATTACGTCCCTGCACCTTGTGCCCACCGCCCGTGGCTCCTAACGAATGAGTGGTCCGGTGAACTGTTTGGGTCGCAGTGATCTCAGTGGTTTGCCACTAGGGGTGCTGTGTGAAGTTCATTGACCCTTATCATTTGGAAGAAAGAAGGGAACACCGGAAGAAGAGGAAGAAGAAAAGAAAGAGGGAAAGTTAGGGGAAGAGAAAGGAGGAGGAAAACGAAGAAGGACAAACAAACAGACAGACAGCAGCAGACAGACAAACTGAAACAAACTGACTGACAGACAGACAGAAATGGACAGTCAGACAGACACAAACAGACAACGATAGACAGACAGACAGAAATGGACAGTCAGACAGACACAAACAAACAACGATAGACAGACAGACAGAAACACATTTGGCGGCGGACGACAGACAGACAAACACAAACAGCGACAGACAGACAGGCAGACTGCGACACACGGACACAAAGAAAGAGATCGCAGGTGGGGCACATAAAGATGCACGCGCGGAGGTGGGAGAGGAAGAAGAAGTAGAAGAAGGAGAAAAAAAAAAAGAAGGAGAAAAARWAGAAAAAGGAAAAAAAAAAAAAAAAAAAGAGAAAAAGWARAAGAAGAAGAAAAAGAAGAAAAGGAGAAGAAG